TGCTTATTGCTTTAGCTTTCCTCCTCTCTCTACGTGCTTTCGGAGAAAATTCGAGGAAATATACATTTGTTCGAGAATTCGCAATATCCGAACCTGTTCCTCTTCATCTTAGTTTCTGAGGAACCAAACAGAGGTAGAGGAAATTTATTTGTTCTTCATGAAATTCTGATACTTGATCGGATCGTCTTGACTGATGGCTTTGATTTTTACATTTTAGGTAGGGTTGTTTCAAAAGGAGAGACCGATGTCGGCGGAAATACAGTTAGGCCCACCTGGAGCAGCGCAAAACCCTAGCGACTCTGATCCCCTGCTAGAGCATCAGTCCGATTCATCCTCACCATCGAGTTCGACTGAGATTCGAACTGAAGATGTTGAGAACGGTTCTGCTCCTTGCTGTCGCATTTGCCTCGAGTGCGATGGTGAAGAAGGTGTTTTCTTTTGCCCCTTTGTTTTATGCAATTCTATGATTTCTATTTTTCAATTTTCAGAATTAGTCATGACATTGTGCTTAATTTTGTTTTGAATATGAATTGAAGAAGCTGTGTTGCATTGTTGAACTTGAAAGAGTAAGAGATTTTCACTATTTAATTAATTAGAGCGATTCTGAGGTTTTTGCTTAAAGTGAATATACAAAATTAGAAAAATTTTGTTTTTTCTCTGTCACTTGAAGTTCTGAAATTTATATTTTGGCACAAGTTTCATTCTGAAGTTGTGTTTCATTAGATGTTAAGCTGCTTGGGTTTAACACATATGTAATGCTCTATCTAATTTGTAGATGATGAACTGATATCTCCATGCATGTGCAAAGGCACCCAGCAGTTTGTTCATCGTTCATGCCTTGATCACTGGCGCTCAGTTAAGGTAAGTACTTTCACTTAAGTTATGGATTATGAGCAAGCAAATTCTTCAATTTTCATGAAATTTTCTTTGGTAAATTATCTAATGTGAACCTCCTCCACCCCTAAAAACTAATTCTAATAGGAAGGATTTGCTTTCTCACATTGCACAACTTGCAAGGCCCAATTCCATCTTCGAGTTGAATTGCTTGAGGACAATTCTTGGCGTAAAATAAAATTCAGACTTTTTGTAGCAAGAGATGTAATCCTTGTGTTCTTGGCTGTACAAACTGTAAGTCATGTTACTCTACTTCTTATGCTTAAATAGGTTTACATGGGGTGTCATCTACGTATATTAATCAATGGCCATTTATTTTTGGGGCTTGTTTTTCTTGATGAAGTTGCAAACAATTCAAATGATCTTATTTTCATTTTCTTTTTTCTGAATTTATTGCAGGTAAGCTTCTTTAGCTGTCCATTTTTGGATTCATGATTCGATTCTCTTTGAATTTTGTTTGAGTTTGCTTGATTTATTCTTATTATTTTTATTCATTTATTTCCAATTGAGTCATTGAGTGTAGTCTCGAATGTGGGGATGTTGGTTCTGATTTCAGAATGAATTAATTAAGAAGTTTTGTGATGTGAAGTTGAATAGCCAAATTTTGTTATTATAGGTATACAATACATTTATCCTCAGCAAAAAAGAAAATTAGGTTATTAAATTTTCCACCACATTGATGTATATTCTTGATTGCAAAGTTGTGCAGATACAGGGCAGCATTGTGATGGTTGTCTAACATTCTATTTTGGGATTAAATAGCAATTCTCTTGCATAACAAAATGATCCTTTGTCATTTGATGGATGATAATTAAGGAGAAATGAATTACAAAAGACATTTCTTTCTCATGTTATTTCTTAAACATCAGATCTAAATCCAGATTTTGCAAACTAGTTGATTAATTGTACAGTGGATATATTAATAGACATGTTTTCTGACTTTCATTGATATATCATACATGTGATGCTAAATCTGTAACCTGTTTACCCTTCTCTCCAGCTTAGGGATGGAGGAACTTGGGATGCATTTTTCCTGGACCTAAATATAATTGTTACGAAAAATACCTAGTTTTGGATATTCTCTTTGTTTGCCTTGTCACTTTTGGTCTTATTTTTGCCAAATATTAATTTTTATCATTTAATAAACTAGTTTAAGTTGTTGGAATCTTTTGATTTGTTAGTTACCACCAACTTTAAAATCTTGATTATGGGGTTTAAATCCCTACAATAGCTAGACAACCACTATGCCTATAATGAAATATGAGATATTTTTCTAAATTCAATGAGGACTAAGTTACTAGATATATTTGCTAAGGCCCTAGCTTGTTTGAAGTTATGTCAGCTGATGTTTATAATTAGTTGTTAAGAATTACACCGTTTCTAACTCTCCCTTTGCCTTCCCAATCAAATAAACAACAACAACAACAACAACAACAACAACAATAACAACAAAAACAAAAGAAGGATGAAGAAAAGAAAGGAAAGGAAAGAGAAAGAAGGAGAAAAGGGAAAGAAACCCAACCATCTACAAAAGCGTGTCCTTCAAGGCTTATCTTACCCTACATCTTGACAACATATTTTTGGCACACTTGGTTGGAGCTGCTTCAGCTCCCATCTTAGAAAGAGCTTTTATTTTAAAAAATAATAATTGAAATTGATATTAGCAGGCATGCACGTGATGTCTCAATTTTGCAGAACTGAAATGGCTATGTTGTGCCCAACTTTCACATCAGTAATGTCCAAGCCAAAGTCACCATTATTGAAAGATGTTTAATGGCTCCCTTCCACCTGTAAAGATGGGTTCAATTGCCTGCTATTGGATTCATCCCACAAGCACAATGGCAAGAAAGTGCAGTAAGCTTTCAAAGATCTAGCATTACTGCAAAAGGAGTCTTATTGGGAAAAGAATCTCAACTTTTCATGTTCCCGAAAATAATTATTTTTGACATCCATTTCCCAATAGAGACCCCTTTTTGGGATGCTTAATTTGAAGAACATGTTGCACTTGGATCCAGCAATGGCTTTCTTGCCATTAGGCCTGTAGGGTGAAGGACATCACATGCAATTGACACCCCTTTGGAGGTATGCTAGCCATAAAACATCTTTTCACAATGATTTTTGTAGTTGGGCTCAGAATGACTATTTTTAATATCTTTTTTGTTTGGAGATTGGAGGTGCAGGTCTCATTAGGTTATAGGTGTGCCAAAAATATGCAAAAGCTCTAATAAGGAAAATAAAAAAATTTCCTCCTAGTAGGCATTACCTAAAGTGTTGATCCCACTTTTGCTTTTTCTTTAAATTCACAATAATTTCTCATTTTCTAACTGCTTGATCATCTCTACTTCAGAATGAATTCCAAATGATAGGAGATCTTACTTATAAGAGAGCCTTGAAGGGTTGGGATAAGATTTGAACTCCTCCCAGATAAGAATGAAATTTGAATTATCTTTACATTTCAACATTTTCTTGGATAATTCCCACATTTATGATTATTTGGCAAAGTTGTATCTGTTTATTGTTGTTATCTTGCTTATTCCATGAGCCATGTGGTTTGGGCATTCAGTTGGTTGTGCTCTAGGCCATAGGTCTGGGGTTCAATCCCTAGTCTTTACATACCAAAGAAAAAAATTCAGTTTTTCTTTATCTTACTAATTTATTTGTTTTTGTTTTAATTTTGCAAATAAATTTGGGCTTCATTTTGTTGCAAAGACAGCATATAACAATCTGAGATTCTGAATTAATTAATTCTGAATAGTGGTGAACATCATGTGACCAATTTCTATTATCCAGGTAATTGCTGCTATAGGAGGCTTTGCATACATCATGGACAAGGATGGAGCTTTCCGGAAATCATTCAGTGATAGCTGGGATCGTGTACTGTCAAAACATCCTATACCATTTTATTATTGCATTGGTAAGCATTACTTAGTGAAATGGCATTTCGTTCAAATATTCCTGTGTTCGTTAGTTAGAGCCAGCTTGGCCTAACTAAAGCTTTTATAGGATTATTGTTTGAGGTAGAGCTTTTGTACAAGCGCTGAATTCTGAAATGACATATGGTAATTAAAAATAATTTTAGAAATTGATTAAATTTTCTGAGTTTGGAAGTTTAGGTGCAAAGCTTTACTTCAGAAGCTACAAATTGTAGCTTTAGCTTCTAGCTTCTAGCTTCTAGCCCTCTAGGTTTTAGAAGTTGATTCAACTTTTAGAAAGCCAGAAGTGCTCTTAAGGAAACTAGGCTTGGCACAACTTCATCTTCTTCTGTAGCATAGTTTTAGAAGCTAGGTCAAGCAGGAATTTATAATGATTTTATCAATATTTGCATAGTTTTGCTTGTAGTAAATTGGGATATTGTCAATGTCTTACCATCTTCTCCTTGTTTTGCTTGTCTGCACCAAAAATAGGCGTACTGGCCTTTTTCGTGTTGCTTGGATTTTTTGGGCTTATTTTACACTGCTCCTCTCTCAATAGCAATGACCCACGGATGGCTGGCTGCCAGAATTGCTGTTATGGGTGGGGCATCTTGGACTGTTTTCCTGCCTCTATGGAGGCATGTTTTGCCCTAGTTGTTGTCTTTGTTGTCATCTTTGCCATTCTTGGCGTTGCTTATGGTTTCCTTGCTGCCACAATGTTAATTCAGAGAATTTGGCAGAAACACTATCACATCCTTACAAAGAGGGAGCTTACTAAGGTAACTCCCAACAATAGTCTTTATGTACTTTGCCTATTCTTGTCATACTGATTAACTATATAAAACTTCTGGGCACCGAATTGCTGAATTATTTTTGTAGGAATACATAGTGGAAGACCTCCATGGCTGTTATACACCACCAAAACTGGATCCTGAACATGAACGACGCTTGAAAATGATGAAGCTATTGTAAAGATCGATGGAAAGATGAAGTTATTGGATGAATCTCACTCTTTTAAATTATTCAGGATATAAAAGATGAATGTCAATTTGATCAGGAACTGTTTTAATAGGGTGAGGGAAAAAAGGAAGCCAACATTTTTCCAGATACTAGAATGTGAAACTAATCCATGAATCTGACTAAAACCTGGGTACATCTGTGCCACTTATGTGTAATTATCATTTCATGCCTTCATATTAATAAACTGCTCGGTAACTGTCAAGTCAATGAAAGCTAGAAACCATGATTGTCCCTCTCTATGGATCAATATGGAATTTGGCCTCTCAATGGGTTAGGCCACCCTTATGAATCATTTAACATTTTGGTACCTAATCAAAAATTGCGTTCCTAGGATTTGAAGATGAAAAGCTTTTCTCAAGACTATTGTGCTGAGAGTGAACCATGAAGAATGAACTAATCGTTTGTTCTTTCGCAACACCTGACGGTTGACAAAGTCACACTTGGCAGTGTCACACTAGGTTATAAATCTGCTCAAGTTGAAAGTTACATGCATATAGATTAAAGAACAAACAATTTCTCATAAATTCTTTATTTTGAGGTACACATAAATTGACATGTTGGCACCTTAACCATTAAACAAAGAAAACCATTAAGCAAGGAAAAGACTGCAAGCAAATTGGTTTGAAGACATTCTAACCATTAAACAAAGAAAAGGGAATAATTATAAGATCTCCAACGGTTTTTATGTCGGAACTGAGTAAAAGCACAAACCATAAGACAAACAGATAAATTTGTACCCTTAGAACCAAACGGGTGCTAACTGATGACTTATCTGAATGCCACTACATCAACGGAAAGAGCTATTATTTATACACGAGGATCACCTACTTAATCTAGTCAGTATTTCATGGATGTTTGTTTTGGCCAACATTATTCATGTTTTTCATTTTATTTTGTAGTCTTTTGAATGTCAATTAATTTAAGGCCAAGAAACCCCTTAACTACTATTGGGAGAACAACATTTTTCTTTTTTTGCCTCCAACATATACACACTCAAAAAAAAAAAAAAAATCATAGTAGACATTGTTTCTCAGTACAAATTGACAAAAACAAATTGTCAATTCAAAATAAAAATAACTAAGATACATTTTGATCATCCTTTATAACTAAAAGTATTGTGGGGAATGTAGTTTTTAATTTAAACTAATAATTTTTACTTTTTTAGCTACTAACAAACAACGTTATGTTAATTCTAGTATTTTAGTTCTTACAGTTATATTTTTACTCATATCTAATTTCTTTTCTTCTTTTTTTTTCCTGGTAAGCAAAATCTTATCTAATACTTAAAACGAATAATTTTTCGTAAAGCCAATGAAGCCTCGGCCTTAGTAGCTGATGCCTTTAGATAACAAAGTTCAAGTCTTGTTTTGTACGTGCAACTGTCTGATTTGTTATAGTTAGACTATTGTTTTGCTTGAATTGATGATATTGTTACATATATTCCGAGTAGATTAAAAAAACAGGGGAGTAAATAGTACATACATTTCAATTGACTGAAACGTGAATAGAGTACACACCTTGTGAAAGATTTTATATTTTTTAAAAAGTAAACAAATTGGCGATCCATCTAATGCAAATTCTTAATACTGGAACTGCACGTGGCACCATATATCAAAATGAAAAAAGAAAAGAGTTAGAAAGATGACCTACTAAGAAACCCCAATATTTTGTGGGTTTTGGCTGTTAGTATCCTGGATCCCAGCTTCACTAACAAAAATGAGATGATCTCCATCTCTTATGACCTCTATATCATCAATCTCAGGTCCATATTTGCTCAAAACTTTAACGGGACTTACGCCTAATTTCTTGGCACCAATGTCGAGCAAATCCTCAAATCTCTGTGGAAGTAGAACAAGCTTCCCGGTGACTTCTCCCTTTTGCGGGCAACTAATTATCACTCTAGCAGGATCAACATTACAAGTCTTGGAACTACTAGCTTGGTGAACTGGGAGCAATAAGTCTTTCTTCACATTGTGTGCGGCTGACATTATCCCAAATAGTGAATTGTGAAAGTTGTTATTCCTACGCCTTGGACGGGGTTGGCTCAATGACCCGTCTGTGGCATCTTGGGATGCTGGAAGAATGTTTGGCTCACTTGTAAACCTCCCAAGGTAGCATGGCTCCTGCTTCTCTGGTACTACCATAACAGATTGTACTTCGATCTCTGAAGAAGACTGGAACAGCGTTTTAATGTCTTCGTGTCCTTGTTGTTCAGCTAGACCTCTAGGAGTCCAGCCATTGACATCTGGTTTGTCAATATCAGCTCCTTTCTTCAAGAGGAATTTGACCATTTCAATGTTGTCCTCGCATACTGCTAAATGAAGAGCAGTGGAACCGTTGCTCCTAGGACGCGTGACATTGCCTCCATAACGAACAATTTCTTTAAGCAAGTCCAAGTTGTTCTGCTCTGCAGCAGTGCATGCAAAGCGACCAACATCTCCTGCATTGATATCTGCACCATTGTCAATAAGCAGTTTGACCACTTTTTCATGACCCCCCACCATTGCTTCCCACAAAGGTACAAGCCCATCTGAGTCTGCATGGAATGAAATTAAATACATTGTTAAATTTTTAAATCATCCGGTAACCTGCAGAATAACCTTGATGAATATCGAAAGTATTCAAAAAATTCATCAAATATTTCAACTGATAATAGCTTTAAAAGCTAACATCACAACCAAAGACAAAATAAATGGAAAGCGCAGTCTGTCTCCACAACATTCAATGCTACTATTTAAAAAAAAAAAAGATTCACGTCACAGCACACGAAAGGATCTCCATCTCACCAGCAGATTACACTTAATTTTCAGCAATTTAAAAAGTTGGTATGCAGAAAAAGAGAAAGCAGGTGAATGATACGTATGACAATTGACATCCGATGCCATATTTTCTTGAGAAAAAATGCACAATCAAATTTCTGAGATCAGCGTTTAGACATTTTGGATCTGGTGTAAGCTCATAATACAGTTCAAAGGTCAGAATTAGGAAATCTGCAAAAGATAGACATGCTCAGCGTCATGGATAAGATTATTATATTTTTTACATAACAGGAAGGAAAGCCAAAAATTGAGATTAGCATTTATCTGGTTAATCTTAAAAAAATTAAGAGGAATAGCACTAAAAACTCCAAAAGTATATCATTTCAATAAAATATCAAGGGAAAAAAAACAAAAATGATCTTGTTCTTGTTTTAAAAACATCTCATTTTAGCCATTTTTAATAGGAGTTTATTAAAATAATGGTTTTAGGGTGTTTTTCATCTTTATTTTTTAGGAACTAGATTGATAAAACATTAATCTCTAATATATATGGGACAAGTGTTTATCAACTGGACTTGAAAAAAATTATGTGAAAAAGCACTTAAAAGTATCATTTTAATAAAGTATTATGAAAAAGAACTAACATAGACTTACTAAATGAGAATATATATTTTAGTTTTTTTTTAAAAGAATTAATTAAAATAATATAATTTTGAGATATTTTTTTGATTAATTTTTTGTAAGTACAATTGATAAACTTTTTTTTTTATTTTTTAATTGTTCAACTTAATCTTCAATATTTGTGGCTAAACTTATGAGGTGGATTCTTGTTAAGAACAAATTTATATACTAGCAAGATAAGATTTCTGCATTATTGAAACTAAAGTCTAAACTTATAATTCTGAATTATTTTTTCTTACCAACTACCATCACATGATGTCCAAACATGCATTATTCTAATGATAATGAACATAAAATAAAGTATGAAAATGCTCCGATGGCCTATGGATAAGAGCAGTGAACTAAGATTAATTAAAGAAAATCAGTTTTGAGTAGAGGGAAAGATCATTGAACAAAAGAAGGGAATTTTAATGGCAATAACAATGCATAAAAAAATTGTCTAGTCAAGGTTAAGAAACATATAGAAGGTAGTCAGATAGTTAGGATCTGGAGAAACATATAAAAAAAATGATCAGAGAAAATAGGCAATAGGCTGGAGAATACCTTTGCAGTTAGGCTCTGCACCATAATCCAGCAAGAGAAGCACACAGTTCTCACTTCCTTTGGAAGCTGCTATGTGCTAATTTCATGCAAAAGGAAAACATATAAATGGAATTTAGCACCAGTACGTACTCCTAAGTAATTCAGGAACTGACGAAATCTGAAAGCCAAAAAATTTCACAAACCAAAGCTGTCCTCCCATTGTTGTCTGCCTCATTAGGATCAAGCCCCCGTTTCAACAGCTGATGCAATAGCAAGTCATCTCCCCTTAGTGTAGCAAAGAAAAGATTGAGAGGTAGATCCATTCTACCACGAGTCAGCATGTTCTCTGTCTCCAGCAAAACTCCTTGCATAATTGGATCATTCAGGTCTTTCAAGTGCTGCTCCGCCAAGAAAGAGAGTTTGAACGGTGTATGGTATGTAAAAGAAATGATAATAAATTTTCATAATTAGGCAATAAAATTCTATTGCATTTGAACCTTGATAGCTTATGTTATGTTATACAAATTTAAAATGCATAGCCTTTTGTGATAAAAATATTTCACTACCAGCTTATCCTGTTATGTAGAGTATGTGTACCTGCAGGAGATTGTTCATAATTATGGTCCCATCTCCGAGATTGGACTGAACAATATTAAAAAATGTAGTACGATTCATCCGAAGCAGTTGGCACAATCGTCTTGTCCGCACTGTAAAGAGCTGGGGCCTATAGCAAAGGACCCCTATCTCACCACAAAGATCACCTGATTTTGCCTCTCCAACAACCTGGAATTTGTTAACGGTTAATTTAGCTACCATCTTGTTCAGGAATTACGATAATATAACAAGGAGGAAGATTTTTTTATTTTTTTTACTACGCTTGCCTGTTCAACTCCATTCTTAAGAACTAGTAGATCCTGTAAAATAATACAAACGTCAGGGGCCACATGGTCTGATAAATTTACTATGATGAAACATCTGAATTTCAATTAAATTCAGAGTGTAATAAAACCTGACCCAAAAGATTCAATGAACAATTTAAGCTTTGAAGAAGAGTTAGCTTATTACCACAGCACCGGTGACAAGAATGTAGAAATCTGTTGGTGCTTCATTCTGTAGAATGACATCTTCTTTTGGAGGAAAATATTCAGCTTTCATTTCTGAGACCTTTTGCATTTATTCACAAAGATAAATATCCAGTAGAAGTAAAGCAAAGAAGATGAAATTACTGAGACAGAAACTTAAAAGGGGAAAAGGGTGGGAGAGAGAAACAAAGATATAGAAACCATTCCAAGAGAACATTTCAGTGGATTACCAGTTGGAAAAGCAAGTCATTGGAAATCCCACAGAACAAGTAAACCCTATCCACAAGCGAGTAGAAAAGATAATGTGAAATACTTGATCGAATGGCTTTAGGAAGGGAATCAAGAGTCCCTTGCTGCTGCAATCCCTCAGAATCAGTCCTGAATTTCAAACACAAATGTGCAAGCATCTGATCCTGTAGGCGAAGTGGCAATCGGTTCCTCTGAGCAAAACTTGAAGCAGCTTGGATGGTATCCCTCTAAGAGTTAAGAAGAGAATGAAAAATAAATACAAAAAGTAGCAAGCACATAAATTAGAACTAAAGAATTTCAAGATCTTAATAATTTAACAAGTTCATTAGTGTAGAAAACTAGAAAACTGTAAAACTTACAAATCTTCTAGTTCGGCTGGTTCCATGGACAACCAAGTTGGTCATGTTTCCAATCAAATATGCTGTCAATCCAAGGTTGAAGAACATATAGAAGATGTCAAAGATCATCTCCCTTAAATTCACCGGGTGCAAGTCACCATAGCCCACAGTTGTTAGTGTAGTGATAGACCAGTAAATTGATGTAACATAACGATTCCACACACCCTGCTCAAGGAAGTCCTGTCCAAGTGCGGCTCCAATCCATGTATTCGCAGGATTACGATAACTGGCAGCAATAAGATAATAGAAGCATGCAGCGCAATGAACAGCAAACAGGGTAACCTATGAAGATTCAGCTTTAAGTACAAAGTTCAGCACTAAAATGGTAATCTTCAATGTAAAGAATGAAAATACATGCATTTCGAACTCACACAAATAAGCTTTGCACATCGAACCCAAAAGTAGTTGTAGTTCCTGTCTTTCTCCAATCTGTGCAAGCAATAATAAGTCTTGAAGCAAAACTTGCTCAAAAGCGTCAAATTATATTTGAACTAATAATAATAAATTTATATTCCTGCTTTAATCAGAGCAGGAAGCTAGCTCATGACAGTACACAACTCTGTACCTGGAAAACAAGGCACTAACTCTCCGGAGACGCCAAAGGCGAAGCATATTGAAAAACCCATATGACTGTAATCGCTTAGAGGAAATCTTCTGAACAAGTTCAGATGGGATACTAGATATGATATCAAGAGCCAACCAGGAACTTCCATACTTCCAGGCAATCCTCTTTGGACTGTCAACAATGAGGTAAGTAGTTTTATCGAGGTAAGCTACAAAGAAAGTGAGAATAATATCCACAGCAAAGAATCCATTGACAACATTGTCCGCAATGGCTAGGTGTCTTTCTGGTTTTCTAAGAAATCCAAACTCAAAAGGTGACACCCAAGCAGTGTAGATGACCAGAAGAACAAGAAAAGTTTCCCATACCCTGCAAGATTCAGTATAAAACTAAGTTTAAGCAAACTTTTCTTTTTTTCCGTCTTTGTCTCTTAATTGCCTAAAAGCTTCCAAATTCACCACGATGTGTCTTCAATATGCATCAAATAGTGAAAACCAATTAAAATTGCAAGCATGAAACAAAAAATGGCAATTTATAAATTTTGCCTGTAATTGACCTACTACGTTTATATATGCTATAACTACCTATAGATACATATTCAGCTGCAAAGGTCAATTTTTCTTCTTTTAACAAATCAAACCTTTCAAATTCATACCCATATCATTCTTATTAAAAACAAGAAATAGAAATTTTTTTGAAAGAGCAACACTGGGAGAGATAGGAAAGGGACTCGATTTTTGATTCTCAAGCCTCCAATAAGGGAACTACTTTCATCTCAATTAGGACTACTCAACAGAATCATTCTAAACGTGTAAAACGTAACCAGTGATTCACTGGCCTTTTTAGATACAAATCCAGCATTTAGATCTCAGAGCACATGTGAACACAATCAATTATTCAATTAAATATTTGCACCTTGTATCAAACTAAAATAAAAGAGAAGCTTTTCAGCCAAGAATCAGCTTGGAACTTCAGGAATAATATCCATAATAATACTGAACAGGTTCCAACTAAATCCCACTATTAGAATGGTGTACACAGCATTATGTACGAAATACAAATTAAAATAACAGTATCATGAAACAAAAGGAACAAATCTTGAGAGGAAAAAAATTCAAAGTTGTCCAGGATAAACTCTCACTATAGGTACCATATTATATTATTAAAGGAGAAAATACATAGCACTACCAAGTAAGACTTGAAACAACAAAGTCAAAAGAAAAATTGAGCAATCTTTTGAAATCCCAATGAAGAAAACCCAGAATCAGTCGTTAAAAAACTGTAAATAGAAGAAATAATAATACTAATAAAGAAGTCCTCCTATATCTCTATAACAAAGACTACTGTACTTTTATTATTACTTAAAAACAAAAAACACATGGATGCTTCACGAGATTCAATGTCGTTTTTCATCCTCCCATCGGCATCAAAACAATATAAAAAAGAAGGAAAATAAAAGAAAATACTCAGAGTCTGGCATTCGTTCACCCAAGCAGCGGTGAAGTCAACATATTAGCTAGAAATTCATAGGAGCATAGAAGCAAACACGTAGCAGTCATGGTAGAAAACAAGAAAAAGAAGAAGAAATCAGGCTTTTCAGACACGGTAAAGGAGAAAACAATCCATCACCTGTAGCGGCGGTCATACGGGGAGATGATGAATCGCCGGAGCTTGACTCTCCGGTTACTTCTTGCTCCCAGCGAAGGAAGAATCCCAGTAGAGAGGCTGTAATGGCTACTTTCTCTAGACAGATGCTCTATCTCATCCTGGCCACAAACCGACAGAGGAAACATCCCTGCATTTCTCAGTGTCGCCATTGTTAAAACCTTACTCTCAGGACACAGGGTATGGCTATATATATATATATACAGAACTTGTATCCTCTCTCTTACTGGCTGTTTGCTTCTAAAGTCACAGTTCTAACTTAGTTTTCCGCCCCTGCCATATATGATATTCTTAAGCTGAAGCGTGTTTGGTTGGTAGAAAATAGAGGTAGGGTAGAGATGAATTTTTTATTTATTTAATTTTTTTTTTTTTTTTTTTTTTAATAAAATGAGAATTTATTGATAAATAGAGAGATTATATTCTATTTTATATCTATATCATGGCATTAAAGAGAAAAGATAGAAATATATCCTATAGCATTGATGATAGATTTATATTGTAAAAATGTTTCTCGGACAAATTTTGTGCATCCTAAAAATAATTTTTTTGAGAGCAATTTTAAAAACACATCCCCATATTACTATGATATATTTAAAAAAATTAATTTTTTCAAATATTAGCTTTAAAATTTAACTTTAAATTTGATTTATAAAATAATATTTATTTATTAATAAATCTAATCAATAAAGTTAATTTTACCTTTATCTTATAATAGATAGAATTGTGTTATAATTCTTTTTATTTAGGGTCTTGGTATAGTGATTAAAATTCAGTGAATGGTAAATAGCAAATAACAAATAATGGTAGTGGGTAGCAAGTAACGATTAACAAATAATGGATGAAAAATAGTGAAAAGTGG